AGAAATCACGAGTCTGGGTGATTCTTAGAGCAGGAGAGTGGAAAAGTAACTTTCCAAGCTCTTCTGATTCTGACGAAGGAGGTTTGGAGGGCTGTGAGCTCCATCCGAGAGATGGGCATGGTTCTGGAGGAGCCTAGAGACCAGGTTTGAGGCATGACCAGACATGAAGGTTATGGAAAAGGCTTCTCCAGAAGAGCCTGAGGCTGAGCGGTCATTCCCCACATTTTGGGAGTGAAGGTCTCCTTACCGGTCATCAGCTGATATTCAAGGAGCGTTTCCTTGATGAGGTCGTAGGTCACCATCTCCCCACAGTTCACGATGGCATTTCGAGTGATGTTGGGGAGGGTCCCTGCAGGGGGAGGAAGGAAGGAGAAGGTTCAGGGTGGAGAGAGTGGGGGGTGTTCCTGGATCCTACCCCAGCTGGATCCCTTGGGGTGTCCTGCAGGGATGCTGGCAAGTCTTCAGGACCACATCCCACGTCTGACTTTGAGTCTTGCCCCCCCCCCCGAGTCTCAAGGCTTGAATTGAGTTTTGGGTCTTATTATGCCCTGCCCCGCACCTTGAGGTTTTGGACCATCGGGACTCCAACCACGCATGCACCACCCAGCTGAGGCGGGCACATGCGCCACGACAGCAGGCCGGCTTCCTTTTCCGGAGCTGGCCCCTGACTCCGCACGCGTGCCAGCTCACCCGCTGGGTGGCGCATCGGTGGATGGAGACAGCAGCTGGTTGCTGGAATGAAAGTTGGACCTGCTCCCTCTCAGGGGGCAACGGCAGCAACTGGTAAATCCATCCCTTTGGGACTTGAAAAGGGACTTGGGAAAACGGTTCTGAGTCACGAGTCAAGTCCAAGCCCCCCCCCCCAATTCCAAAACGCCAAGTTGAGTCAAGTCCCTTGTAGGACTTGAGTCGGAGTGAGCAGCGCCTTGTGGCTCACGAATCTCCATCCCTGGCGGTCCAGATCCTGCCCTGAAGGACGAGATAAGGATGCCTTACCTTTCCAGAGGCCTCTGACCCCTTCCTCTCTGGCGATGGTCCGGTACGCGTCCACCGTCCCGTTGTACTTCTTGGGCCCGCCTAACACGGTGATGTGGGCTTGGAAGCGGACTTTCACCACGTCGGTCGGTTGGGCACAGGCGACCGCCATAGCTCCCGTGGTGCAGCCCGCCAGGAGGCGGGTGAAGATGCCAGGATCTGAGAGAAAGAGGGCGTATAGGATGAGCTGGCATCCGTGCGACGGCTTTTCTGCTCTCGTGCTGCGGGTTCTCCAGGCCTTCGCTTGGTAGATGGCTGATGAACCGTCTAGGGGGTTGGTTCTTATTTGTTTATTATTGACTTAAAATGTTGTATTTTTTTTTTTATCCTCGCTTTAGCCTGCCTTTCTCCTTAAAAAGACCCGAGGCGGCTTATGCCATTCAAATACAATATCAAAAAGCTAAAAACAAAAAGTGCACAAAGAGGCACCAAGAATCGAACAAAGGGCACTCCAAAAATTGGTAAAGGAAACCAACACCAAAGCCACATTCAAAGCAACAAGGCACAACACGCCGTTTAAAAACCCCTCACGGACAGCGCATTTCTGAGGGAAAGCTTGCCAGATGAGAAAGGTCTTGGCCTGCTTGTGGAATGACGGCCAAGATGGGTCCAAGCTGGCCTCCAGTGGGAGGGAGTTCCACAGTCTAAAGGAGCCAAGATGGGGCCAGGCTGGCCTCCAGTGGGAGGGAGATCCACAGTATAAAGGAGCAGCCACAGAGAAAAGCCCCTCTCCTGTGTCCCCACCAGATGCACCTGTGAAGGCGGCAGGACTGAAAGAAAGGCCTCCCCTGATGACATTAACACCTCGTATAGGGAGATGCATCCTTGAGATTGATTGCACCCAAGCTGTTTAGGGCTTTATAAGTTAGAACCAGCTGTTTGAATGATGCTTAGGGTTAGGGGATCGTTTGGAGGTTTCTTCCATGCTGTCCTGGGGGAGGGCCCCTGCCATCTAGGACAGCAGAAAAGGCTGAATGTGGCCCTCCGGGAGGGCCAGATTCAGCTCCGTGGCTTCGGTTCCCCACCCCTGGCTTCAGGGGCCACAGACTTACTTTCCGACCCCTTGGGAGTGTAGAAGGCTTTCACCGAGTCATACAGGCCGATGCGGATGGAGGCAAAACTCATCTGACGCTGGAGCCCTGCGATCAAGCCGTTGTAAAGGCTCCTGGATCCTTCCATCTTCACGATGGTGGCGATCGTGCCAAAGACCCCTTTGTATTTGACGTTCTTGGCTGCCTTGGAAGCTTTCGATTCTCCTTGAATCTTCAGGAGAAATGGAAACGGTCCGTGAGAAATTGGCAAGCCTCAGGGTATATACAAGGCGCCTGTGCTCCTCTCTCTCTCTCTCTCTGTCACACACAGAGAGAGATTATTTTGTGTCAAATGAGCTGTGATTGTCCATCACGGGGATGGAGAATGTACGGGTCATGCTGTATGGTCCAACCGCCCTCCCTTCCACCCCATTCCCAAACCCAGGGAATTATCATCTTTTGAAAGGGCAGATCATGCTCTGACTGAGATAACGGGTTGAATGCCTGTCACAAAACAGCATTTTCAACAACATTTTACATTTGGGACACCCTGTTCGATGAAGAGATACAAAAAACAAAACAAAACTTGAAAGCCTTATGCTCTTTCAGTTGGTCTGATAAGGATATCACAATAAAAGCTCAGAAAAAAATCCCTTAACTTTGCTGAAAGACATGAAATTTGTTGGAAGTTATTTCAGCCTCTTATGCTAACTTTAGTAGGTTTGGCTAGGAGGGACTTTTCCGGGCTGGGCTGACTTTCAATCAACCTAGCATGGACTAATCATTATTTTCCTGACTCTGATTTCAAAGAGAACCCCGCCTCTCTACTTAAGGGTCTTTCCCCCTCTCTTTTTAGCTTGCTGGCAGTTAATGTCATGAAAGTTAGAATGTAATGTATAGGGTTCTGCTGGAAGCAGGCACTGAGTCTGTTAAGGCCTGTTGCTATAAGCCATCATTTTAGTATAGTATGCTATTTTTGATCTGTGAGTAAATCAAACCTTTTTATTCTTTCTCTTACCAATATCTCAGAAAGAGTTGTTCAGATTGTACAGTAAGTGCTGGGTTATGAGACAAAAAGGAGTTGCCTGCTCTAGGAGGACTTGAAGCTAATTCTGCTCTCCTGCTGTGCATCCAGAAGTTTTTAACGAAAATTCAAAATGCTGCAATATTTTCCACAAATATTATTGACTAATCAGCTCAAATAAGCAGATGAGTTAGCTCTTTAAATCAATTCCCGAGAGCTTTGGCTGATAAAATGCTTTTGTTAGCACCCAACCTAAGGCATTGGGTGGGTTCTTTCTTCTACACATCAAAAGTTAGGCACATCCACTAATGAGGAATATATTAGTTGTAATTATTAACTTTGTATTTTTATTTGAATAACCAGCATAGCTGTCTTTGCTTTTTGTATTAACCACTGCTGTTTTGGTGGTTGTGGGTTTTTCGGGCTCTTTGGCCGTGTTCTGAAGGTTGTTCTTCCTAACGTTTCGCCAGTCTCTGTGGCCATGGGCATCTTCAGAGGACAGCAGTCTGTGCTCTGGTGTAGTTGGCTTGGGAGTGCAGTATTTATGGCTGTGAGATAGGCTTTTCTCCTTTTCAGGAGATGGGTGATTAGTGTGTCTTGTGGGTGTAATTGTTGTGATAAGGAGGAGAGATTATCTGTCACTGT